TTGAATTCCATCTCATTTGAGACAACTTACACTTTTAACGGTCATTTTGAACAAAGAAGATTATATTTATAAACTATGTTGCAATGACGGTTAACTAAATTTTAGCTGAGAAAGAGAGAGAAAGAGAGAGGAAAAAACAGAGTAAAGAAGAAAGAAGTGTCTAAAGTCTAAAAGATACAAGCGTCGTACGACCTTTGAAAATGAACGTCATAATCAGACTGCAAAATCTGGCGTGGTCCGCCAATGCATTGGACATACGCCAATTTTTCAGAGGCCTGAGTATCCCGGCTATGTATGTTAATAATTATTAATTCTAAGATAAAGTACAAAATATGTTAATTTTTTTATTTTTGAGAATATTTAATTAGTTTTGTTTTTAAAAGTTTATTTGACTGATTAAATCTGCAATACTTAAGAAATTGCAATACTTTAGAAGTGTTTAACAATAATTATTCTATGTGATAAGATAAATTACTTTTGTGTTCAAATGTTTTTCAAAGATGTGATTTGAGTTATTTTGTATTTCTCATTATTATAGACTATATATACTATACGTGAGTGATTAAAAAACAGATTCTTGTATTTTTATTTTCGAAATAATTGTTAATTCCATATAAATAAATCTCTATATACAATTAACATAGCTTGTTTTAATAATAATCCAATTTATTTCTGAATAATATTAATATAGATCACTGAGAATCAAAGTGCCCCATGCCCGTATCATTGTACCCCGCATATGAGGTACATTGATATGAATATCATTTTTTACAAATAATATTATAACATTTCTTATTATTAACCTACAGCAAAAAGGCAATAAAAACACGTAAGTAGAAGGATAAGCCTTTAAATTTAACCTATTACATTTATCTTAATCTATCTGCAAAGTTATTTATTTAACTCTTGAAAAAATGGTATCAATGTCCTCCACTTCCCCCTATATTCACTTATTAGGATGTATGTTTTGTAATAAAATTTCAATTATCGTTATATATCGCGCTACACAATGCCATATGTGGAACATATGGGATGTGTGTATGGCAATGTTTTCCAGAATAAATCTAGATACAAAAACATTATATCAGAAAACGTTATATGAGTAATCATTTATAAATATAGTTTATGAAAAGTTAAAGGAAACGCTCAGTATCCGCCTCACATGTCGCAACCGCATGTTTTAATATTGAGTTTGCAGCTCGCAGATGATAAGACCGAAGCTGCTTATGCAAGCAGCACCATATTATGACTTGCAAAATTCTATCACGCACTCTTCCTATGTTTTCCATTGGTTCAACAGTAACATACTACCAAGTTGTTGATCACTGATATTGAGAATATATCTTGAAACTGCATTACGTCAAAACATGTTTGTAACATATACTGATAAATGCATACTTCGAACATTCATTTTAAACTTCTGTAATTAAGGAATTATGATAAACACAACTTACGCTCATCTCTTTTACTTATTTAACGCAATAATTTATTATTTAAAATATAATGCGTTTATTCTATATGTACTAATAATATTAATAATAATACATTTATATAATTAATACTTTATTTATTAATTTATTTATATTGGCATCAAAAGGAAGGCGAGGTATAATTCAATGACTGATCTACGGATGTGACATTCCGCACATCTCACTCTCAATTTCTTGTGCTTATTGTTAACCTTTACGTGACGGTGATATCCCCCCCCCCTCCCTGAAATTGAGATCAAGTAACATCTCCGATCTCGAAAGAAATGACTGAAGTGACGGAAGAGATAACGCGAAGTAGTGCTGAGTGTGGTACCAGGAGATTAGATGTAAAGGACAAGGAGAATTAAATTCCGTGGTAAATATACACTATAGTAGTAAAAAAATCAGGTCTCAGGGATCCACAGGATTCTATGTCGAGGAAGGAATAAGGAGAAACCCTCTCTTTGAATCTGAATGATTAACGATGGGCTCTGTAGACCTCAGACTCAGGGATAGATTTCAAAGTATAACTGTGATATCTGTACGCACCCATGGAGGACAACGAGGAGGAAGAGAAGGACAAATTTTACGACGATTTTGATCGTTTGCGGCAGAGTCAGCAGGCATGACATAACATTAATATTAGGACATTAATATTAATGCTAAGATTCGGGAAAGACTCTTTTATAAACAAAATGGCAAGTATGCATTCACTTATACATGTGGCAACGGACTGCGGGTCCGTGAATTTGCCCCCTGTCTAGATATATATGTAGATCAGCAGTGTCCCCTTTTAACATAATGAAATCCATAAACAAACCAGGAGGAAGAGAAATTAATCAAATAGATTATTTGTTAATAGGGGGCATGCAATCTCAATATTAGACGTTAGAAGCTGTCGTGAGGCTAATTGTGATTCGGATCACTTTTCGATTAAATTAAAGCTGAGGCAGAGACTGATTGTGAGAGAGGTAGAGGCAATAACTTCAGACAAATGAAATGAGACATTGAAAAACTTACTCAATTAGAGGAGGCCAGGATCTGTTTCTAGCTACTAGATAGTAATAACGGAGAAGTCACAATGCCATCAAGTCAACAGGAAACAGGAATGCTCAACGAATACTCACGAAAGAACCTTGGGGCGGAGGGGGGGGGAGAATGTAGAACGTGGCGGCTCAATAACGATTCTAAAGCCTTGTATCCACGATGCTAGAAATCGAGAATTAACCAATCGCATTGTCAATTGCCGAATTCTTTAAATATGATTGGTCAATTCTTTCTCCGTCGAAGATTTCGGAGCGATTTCTAGGGCCAATATCACTGCAGTTTCCGATTAACGTGATCCTCCGATTAAACTCACTTTTCGTCTCTTTCTAGGGGGATAGTTAGAAAGAGATGCAGAGTGAGTTTAATCAGAGGATCACGTTAATCGGAGACTGTGATATTGGTCCCTAGTATCGTGGATACAAGGGTTAAGAAGTGAAATCCCTTCTCAAAAGGTACGATATTAAAAAATGTTTTATATAAAACTTTTGTGATAAGAATACCTCTATTTAACAACATTAATAATATTTAAAAAAAATTAAATAAATAAATAATAAAAAAAATTATTTTTTCAAAATGTTATTAATGTGATTAAATCACGAAAGTATTATATAAAACATTTCTTAATATCTCGAATACCTTTCGAAATATATCGAGAAAAGCAAAAAGACGCTCTACATATAAGGGGTGGTTTCATTTCTTAGAATCGTTTTTAGGCCGTAACTGAAAATTTCTAAATTCGCTTATTTATCCCCCTCCCCCTCTACATGTATGTAAAGTTTCATCAAAATCAGAATTTTCGGATTCGCAAGATTCTTTTCTCTTATCAGTGGGAAAGGATACAAACAGGGTAAGAGCCGCGATGAATGAGACCTTCGAAAAGAAGAATAATAGAGATGAAAAAAAAGAATGATATGACTGCGGCATGTGCTCCGAGCACGAGTTCTAAGATTATAAATTGATGAATCGTCGAACGTAACTCCGCGCCCCCGAATTGAGTTCTGCTGTTATGTTATCCTCGTCTTGCTTTATAGTTTTTTTCTTAATGATATTCTTAATGATGTTTACTATTTTCTCGACTCTGAAATTTCCGTTTCATTTTCTGATAATAGTATATCTGGCTGTCGTCCTCTACCGGAGGCAAATATACGATAATGTCTGGAAATGTTCTTTCCATCGTTCTCATATTTCTTTTTGTTCTACCATTTTTTCCGTTTATATTCTTACATGTATTTAATCTGGGTTGAAAGATGTGTTTTTAGTTTCTATACTAAAGTAAAACACTTTCACTTTACTTTAAAGTAAAACACTTTCACTTTACACTTTCACTTTGAGATAGTCCTGCGCGCATGGACTATCTCAATTTCCGAAGTTTTTGCTGTCAGGACTCTCTTCTTCCTCCTGATCCCCGCTTCTTGGCTACTGCTCTCAACTCCTTTTAACGTTGCAGGTTACTCCGCATATTCCTGGATAGAAATACGTTTCTTGCAAGTAACTCACAATCAGTTATACCTTCGGATGATCTTCTCGTACACAACTGCCACAATAGATTCAGGCAGCGCCAAAGTGTTATTATGTCATGCCTATGAAAAGCTCTTGAAATTCAAATTACTTTAAAAAAAAATGGTCTAAAAATGGAATCTACAAAACACCGATGAGATCAATTTTTTATTGTAGGCCTGAGACCCTTGAAAGCGAAAGAATGTCGACAGCTACAGCTACCTCTGACAATAAGAAGGTTCTGAGAAAAATATACGAACCAATTAGAAACAACGACGGGTTCTCCTTGGCAAAAATTGTTAGGAAGAAATTATGTTTATATTTGTTTATAAAGAGTTGTATCAATGGTTACACTATTTATGAAGAATTTTATTGATGGACTGTTTGGAAGCACATTGCAAACATCTGGCAAACTCTTTGCTGACAAATATTTTATAAATACTTAAAAAACTCTAATGGAAACGTTTGAGACTATATGTCATTAAACGCCACTTAAACACTTCATAAGAAACACTTTGAAAAAGGTCACGTAACATTGATTTCAGCGTACATTAAAACAATCTTACAACATCTCTGAAACGTTCTGTTCATAAACAATTAATAAACATCTCCACAACATGGAAATCTCTTTTAATAAAAACATTCTCAAACGCAAATAAATCACTTTTTAAATACTACGACAAAAACGCTAAATTATTTACAATTCTAAATCATAAATGACATCCGATGGAATCCGTTTCTCGTATTTAAAATATGACGAACGATATGGTATAAGACCGATACATATAAATCACGGAACTGCACAACTCGAATTATCCGTTGTATCGCGTGGAGTTCACTTTGATAGTAAAGTGTGGCACACTTTTAGATTGATATAACGTCAATGTAATTTTATTTTAGTATGGTACCTTTATTTTTTTAAAGATTGATAATAATTAAATAAACATAAGACATAAAATGTATGTATTTTTTATGACAAATCTTGCTTCTTAAATTTAAGATTTATTTTAGATGACTTTAATTAAGATTTAAGAATAGGCGTTCGTGTTTTTGAAGTGTTGCAAATATTCACGAGGTGTTTTAGGCAGCGCTGTGAACTGCTGCCTAAACTGCAACATTCCGGAAACACCATACAACACTTTCCGAACGCCTATCAAACGTGTAACCGTGAACATCTCCATAAACAATTCCATGTTTAAATTTACATTTCATAAACAATTTAATAAATGTTTTAAAGCTCAAATGAAACATCTACTCAACACTTAACCGGTTCACTGGTAATGCGAAATCAACGTTTTGTGCCAAAACTGATAAGACCTGTTTTCAGCGATTCAAAAAGCATGGGTGTACCAAGTTATATTCAAATCCGTTAAACATTGGAAGAAATATTCATGGTGCGCATATATGCGTCATTACCAGTAGTGGCACTTTTTTTCCGCGCATATATGCATCATTACCACACGGAAAAAACGATATGGTTGCCACATCCAACTGGTTAAGCAAGCTTCTTATAAACTTTTAATATACATATTTAATAAACATTTTCATCGGAGCTACAGAATCCTACACTATAGAAATACATATTACAAATAGCAAAACCATAGTCTACTATATCAGATCACAAAGGATAAGATGGCTGGGATACTTGATTCGAATGTTGGAAGACAGAGTAGTTATGAAAATCTTTCAACTTGTACGGCTCCAGAAGAAGAGGAAGACCCCGGGAAAGGTGGGTGGATTCCGTGGTGACGGCCCCTATAGAAAGATAAAGTTGTCAACTGGAAAATAATTGCAGAAGACTGCAGGTAAGGAATAGTCGCGCAAACTTTGGTCCACAAAGGACTATAATGCTACAGAAAAAGAAAAAGAAGAAGATCTATTTATATTAACACTTCTCGCGTATGAGATCGATGTGCACTGGCGATTGACAACGTATTATTGTGAATATTTTTCGAATAAAATCGGGAGATCAATACATATGTTCTGATAAATGAGTCATAAAATGATAAAAATAATACAATGCGTTGTTGCCGAGTAGTTTTGACATTTAATCGATAAGCTGTCAATAAGGTGATGACAGTAAAAAACTTGTTTATAAGCTTCGGATTGGTGATATATTATTAATATAATACTTTATTAACTTCAGAATGACGTATGTCCTTGTGTTCGAATAATATATATAAAATTCAATAATTCTCTCCAAAATAAGAAAAAGGTCAATGCGAATAAAACGGAAAGGTTTCATCTTATGACGCGAAATATTATTTTATCTTATTATCGGAAGAGCACTTCGAATGTTTTAATTATTATCTGGATAACTTTCAGTTTTCTAATATTCGAAATATCCTTCGGATTTAATTACATTTGAAATATCAAGATAAATCGGAGTATTTTACCAGCATTAAAATATGTCGATTGCAGTATATAGGTCCGAAATGCTAATGGCAATTTATACTGTCATCTAGTTATATCGATCGCAACCGGTCAATGTTACTTAAAAGCTTTAAGTTAATTGCTATATACAATCTGGAATGACGATGGTTATAGCATGTTGTGAAACATTAATGCGAAGAAATATGACGTTTCCTCGAAAAGAATACAAGTACATAGGAACGTATTAAGAGAGATCATGAAAAGACACAGAGAATTTTCGTTATTTTGTACGTCTTCTTTTTTTATATCCAGATTTATCAGCTAATATGGCATTTTTAAAAATATTTATTAAAATATTAATCATCTTTTGTACTAAAATTTTTTATAATAAAACTTATTTTAATTTGATTTTATTTCAAACAGATTAAATTGTTATTTAATTACAATTATGCAACAATATTTAATATTGCATGTTAAATATTTGTATAAAATTTAGACAAACTGCGGTCAATTTTCATTTTCGATAATCAGAGGCCGATTCTAAATTAATCATTTGTGCAGGACACTAGAAATGGACTCAACAGTTATTTCTTCGTGTTTTCATTTTATAATGATTATCAATACGGACAGATAAGTCATTTATTGACACTATGTTCAAAGTTGTTTCATATTTTATCACTATAGAAGTTAGAGATACAAGTATCATGTATGTTGAGGCATGCGCACATGATAAAATTAAAGAAGAAATTTTAGACACGAAAATATCTAAAGATTTTATTAATGCAAAAAACTACCACTTTTAATATTTAATAATTCCATATTTAATATTATTTACCGCGATAACGTTGCTAATTAAATTTAAATTAAATTGGATAAGGAAAAAAATATGTGGATTAAACGATATACAGATTACATGTTAAACGAAATGCAAAGCCAACTGAACAGAATGATATTATGATTACGTTAATTTATGATTACGTAAATAATCGTCAGCATTTATAACTGGTTACCGATTATTGCCTTTAATACCTGCAGTTATTGAGCTAATTTCGATTGTCGTATGACCGGATATGCTAAATTAACTACATTGAACGGAAAATTTCTAGAATCTCCTTGTTGAACTGCTTCAACTGATTACTTATCGTTATAAAATAAAAAATGTAAAAGCTTCGCTCATTTCTACTGCGTATCGCAAAATGCGATATAACTGTAAGATAAACGTCATCCGTCGATTAGATGCAGTTTTAGTCCTGTATTATAGTAGTTTATGTATAGATTATTCATGGCAAATTATTAAATCCATTTTTATCGGCACGTAAATGCGAATAATTTATCATATTTTTTTCGTTTATTTTTCTCCATGCGCCATAAAAATAAACGCAAGATTGACAGAAATGCTGCTTGACCTGATTAATGGATCACGTTCTAACGGCACTAAAATATGTATGTTATTTCGATGAGAATTTAAAATTGATGCTAAATCCATTATCAATAATGTTCATCAACTCAAATTTATGAAAAAAAAAATATTTGGAAGAGAATATTAATAATATTTTAATGAGAATATGGATAATATTATACCTCGAGAATTCTAACGTTTTTTTTTCTTGTGCTCACAATTTTTGTCGTTAAAGGAATGAAACTGTAAATATAATATATAGGTACATAAAAGAAATTAATTTTTACATAAAGCTGGGTATATTAGCGAATGAACAGCGAACACGAACGTGTTCAGACATTCGTGTTTGTGTTCCTAAGGGCCAAAGCACATATGACAGTCGTAGTCGTGGACGTAAATAACGCACAAGCTTTAGCGTATCCTACTGATTTGTCAAGTCGAGGACTATGACCAACTACGACTGTCGTATATCGCTACGCCATGTTATGTGCTTTGGCTCTAAGTTGTTTGTTATTTTTTTCGGTTGCACTAAAAACACCAGAATTGGATCACATTCGGTGTTTTCTGCATGTAGCAATTTGATATTTTTGATTATATCTGTTGAATAATGACAATATTATACCCAGCTTAAAACGATTCTTAAAAATAATAATAAACCCTTAAAAATTACCTATTCGAAAATAGATGGTTAACTGTTTTCAAGTCAATCATCTATTTTCTTTGCAAAACTTGTAATAATAAATACAAATTCCTTATTCCCGAAAGAGAAATAATTTTGTATGGAATATTAAATACAAGATACTCTCTATTAGTTTCTTAATAAAATTTTCAAATTAACTTAACTACTATATATCTCCCTCATAAAAAAAAATAGAAATCAGCTAAATTATTTCCAAATTGTAATAAATTTTATTATAAAAATAACATTTAAAAGTGTTTATGTTACGTGCGAAAAGCAATATGGAATAAAAGATCTTTTATACTTTTTGTATTTTTACCTAATTATGAATTTTTTAATTTAAATTATTTTATCAAATAGTTACATCGCAATTTCCCTCAACGACTCCAAATATCCCCATTTTCGTTTGCCACTCACCTGGTCTTTCTTGCTTCCCAATTCCCTAAACCAATAATTCCCACGTGTTTGATTTATGTTTCTGAACTGTGAGCTAGGTCACTCATCCGAACCGTGCGACAGCTCTTGCAACACTGACTTTCAGACTTTTCAAGAACTCATCGCACAGTCCACTTATGTCGATCACGCTATATACGTAAGCCGACGTCTAATGCACTATTAACACAAAATACGTCTTTAGTTTTTCGCATCGATTTAAGATCAAATAAAAAAAATTAAAATTAGCCCGTTCAACAGCACATTATGGAAATTTATGAGTTATTGTTAAGATAAAATTAAGTTGCACGAGGCTTACGAGAAATATTAATACACTTCCGTTAATTTTTGAATTCTTACGCATTCCTTACGTAATGCGCATGTTTCTCAATTTTACGTTATTAAATTTTCACAGCTCAATTAACATAATTTTTATAGCTCAATTGGTTTTATGCGTATGGACCATGGACCGCATAAAACATTGCGAGTTAAAATAAGATTTGAATTTTTTAATTTAAATTTGATTCCATTATTATTTACAAAAGATGCAAAAAATTATCCATTTAATTTCATTTGTTAACATCATTCTGGATATGAAATATGTAATAATCGAATACCTATTTACCGAAAAAGATTAAGGAAATAGTGCGTGCGTCGCAGTATCGTTTCAAATTCTAATTTATTTATGTAATTATCAATATTTATTTATCGAACTGTGAAAATGTACGGTTTCTGAGAAAAAAAATTGGAATATTTATAAAATTATAAACAAATAAATTAGGCACTAGCATTCGGAAAGTACTTCTTGTGTGTTATATATAAAATAATAAATATATAAATATATATATATATATAAATATAAATAAAATAATAATATATAAAAAGTATATACTTACAGAACTTGTTTATTGGCAAAAATAGAAAAAAACAAATTTTTTTAAATGGATACCAGATGAAGAAAACATACCTGTATGAAAATATTTTAATTATTTTGAGGCGAGAGAGAGAGAGAGAGAGAGGGGGGGGTTTTCTTTTTTTATAATTTCTGTTCGTATATACAAGAAAAATAAAAAGAATTAAAAAATAATTTGAAAAATTACTTTTTGCATTACTTTTTTTTACAAAAAAGTTAAACCAGAGAACATGCGTGTCATTATAAAGACGTTTTTAAAGTGTTTTTATGATGTCTTCTAGATATGCATGCTGTCTGTGAAATTTGAGGAAATGAGGAAAAATTGCCAATGTATATAATCATATATGAATATAATAATCGTATCTATATAAAATATATGATTATAATATATATGTAGAATATAGAAGATAATAATATATATAGTGCATATGGAATATTTATTCTATTATTTAATCGCAATTTTACTTTGTGTGAAAAATAATGCAAAAAGTTTTTTTCTAATTATTTTTTAATTATTCTTCTAATGTACGATATATATTCAATTATTTTTCTTATATACGAACGAAGATTATATAAGAGAAAAAAACATACATTGAACAATTTTTTCCTGGAGAAATCTTCTACTAGTGATTTTCTATGAGTCACGTTAATTATATATGCTGATATGTTCTTTTACGTGCGCGTTCTATTTTATATCTTTTTACAAATATTATATTAATATGCAAAAATATAAATTATTGTATCAAGTTATCACACATTAAAATGAGATCAAGCATGGCACATCATACAGGATCAAAATTTAAATCTTCATTTTCTTCGTATAAATAAAAGCATGCATTTGCAACAGTTTTTTTACTGGTGACAAATGCAAAATAATATTAATAATAGTGATAATGGCCATGGTTATCAACCGTGAACATTAACGGTTGATAAGCACTGTCGATGATTAATGATTCATCAACTTAATAATTTATAATATATTCTATAAGTAATGATAATTGTTGCTGAAAAATTTCACTAAAATTTTTCTAAGAGAATAGCAAGTCAGGTACTTCACACACTTAGTGGCTTTTTAAATATTATAGTTTAGATATTATAATAACGATAATATAATTATCTACATAATAATTATAACAATAACTTGTCGGTAATGTAATTTTTTTATATTATAATTGTCTTGTCGATGTGATTCTTCCATACTACAATTCTTGTATACGTTACCTGCATAAGATTATAATAAGGGATGGTTTTACTTAAGGCCATTGCACGTAACAAAATTTTAGTCATAATCGTAAGGCCATAAGAAAATAGACCAATCACACTCGATTATTCTTCGAGCTCAAGGACAATAATCGACTGTGATTGGTCTATTTTCTTACGGCCTTACGATTATGACTAAAACTTTGTTACGTGTAATGGCCTTTACTTAACAAAAATAATTTTTATATCATTTACAGTTTAGAAATATTAGTCAATGTCTGGGGATAGCAAATAATTCGTAGCAAATAATTTTATTATAAATAGAAATGTGTTTATTACCTATGATATTGTTCCATATCAAAAGACAAATCGAACAGATGGAGGTCTCTTATGAAATTAGTTAACAGAGTACATGGGCTCGTATATTATTGGGATCCCGTTGAGAATAATGCCAGGAAAGCGCTGGTAGCGCCTACGGAGAGTATATAGTTTACTGCAGGCGTGAATGTTTTTAAAACGTAAAACGAAGATACGATGACGAATGCCAGGAAAAGGGCGTTATTGTAGAAAATGGAGAATGTTGTTGCTTCATAATCCGCCACTTCATTCTTCTTCCATAAGATCCTAGATATTTGAACATAACAAATTAATATTTCGTAGAAGGTATGGGATATACTTTTATAATAATGATCAATTATGCCAAAACGATCACTTAGGATTTAGGAGATGCCGTACAGCATTCAAGGCACAATTGACCGATCAGCCATTTGAGTTTAAAAAAAAATACAAAATATTACCTTTCGTCCTTTTCTTTCTTGCTCATCTTCTTATCTTCCGCAAGTTTGCGACTTATTTCCTTAGTTACAGCATCTTCCCTTTTTACAGCAATCTGTAACATACACACATACAAAATATTATAATATAATAATATTATATTCTTGTTATACATACATCAGGATTATATTCATCAAGTTTTGAACAAATTTGGAGCAAAAATAAAAAGTTAGTCCTTTACTGTTTTACGAATTATATAAAAAATGATTTATATATTTTTATAAGTACTTCTATCATGATTTAGCAGAAAAATATTGATATCCTGGATTAGGGTTTCCCAACCTTTTCTATTAAGACCATATTAAAATTTTTGTAATGACCAGGGGGCCTATTACGTATCTTTTCACGAGGTAAAAATGCGAAAAGTGAGAGTTCACTAGAGTATCTACGATTTCATTGGTCGAAATCTAGTAAATCTGTTCACTTTTTGCATTTTCACCTCGTGAAAAGATACGTAATAGGCCCGCAGAGAGTCGAGAATAAGTTTTATTTTAGAAAATCATATAAAAACAAAATTTTTTTTATTTTAAAATTCTCTTATATTATATAATATCGAAATTTCTTGACAAACCTAATCAAACTTCAGGAAGGCTGGGTCTGACTGTAGGTTGGGAATCCCTATCCTAGATATGTGTACAACATACCTTGTGTTTGAGGATGAACTTTGTATTTTTATATGCCAAGGCAAGGGCATATGTGCTCGCCAACGTAACCAGTACGAAAGAGATCAAGTTGGAGTATAGATCGATCAAATGTATTCTCCAAAACAACCCTAATAAAAAAAAACACAATATAGTTAATAAACGGTAAGGATTTCATATAATTTTTTTGCAATAAATATTAAATATCAAATCTAAATAAACAAAGATACACTGGACATTAAATTATATCTGTTATTAAAATGAGACTAAGAAATTGTATACATAAATGCATATCGATGAGTGAAAACAAATTCTAATTTTGATATATTCTGGTTTAAATGGTCATTTAAATCTAAAAACATAAACATATTTAAAAAAGTACACGGGTCTGTTGCTTTCTATTGGAAACATTGTTCTGCTGAAATTATTATAGAGAAAAATCTTTCTATATCGACTGTGTTTTTATTATATTAAATAACTTATTCGAACATCATATAACAAGCTTCGTATTCAATATCGTACAAAAATATATTAATTATAGAATTCGTCTGCTGTACAACGTTTGCAAAGTTCTAAGGCATAACTGTCTATTTTCAATCCTCCAGCTGCATTTTACATCAGACGATAAATTAGACAACGTAAAATTTTATACGGCAGGAATTTAATTGTATAAAGTAACAGAGAAAACTGATGAAAGGTGTTATCTCTTGTCGTGCGAGCTTGACAAGTGTCCGCACTCACAAATCGGTATCGCCGAAACGATGAAAGCATTGCCGTAGAACAGTGCCGAGGATTTCGTCGACACGTTCCTGGAGAAGTCCTGCAGCAGCAGCTCCTCCTCTTTGGTAAATGCCTTGGACTTTCCTGACATTTTCGGTAACAGCCACAAAGACAACCGGACAACCCGTTCGGCCACGAGGATCGCGACTTGACTTGACGGACGGAGACGGTCGGAAACAAATGGCCGCGCATGCGTAAAAAGCGTCGGTGTGGAGACGTGTGGTGACGTGTCCTTCGTCGTCATTCTTCGCCGATATCGATCGAGGCGCGAAACGCGAGTCCTGCCACCTGTAAGTGATCCGTCGCAAAACTTCGCCGAACTTCGTGATCAATCGTATGTTAGAAATCTAATTTACCGATTAATTTATTGATTTCGTTCGGGTGATTTTTTTTAAATCATGACACTTTTCTAATTTGGAGTCCAAATAATACCATGTCCAAAATCGGGACAATAAGGTTGAAACGGAGACACCTGATTTATCGTATTTATATTTTCATCATATATTTTTAGCATTGTCTCACTCAAGGTAGACGCACAAATATGATCGTCAATACCAACTACAGTTTTAAATACAAATCGAATATGTGTCGTAGAATGTGTAAATATCTATAAAACGTCAGGACATAATAAGTCGTAGAATATATTAATTAATTAATATTACAAATATTACGTTCGAATTTTTCCAATCACGTGAGTTTTTTTTTAACCGCCGAGCGCCTCGTCGGTATCGCAGCTAACTTCACAGGATGACAGCGGCGGATTCGCGGCTGGCTGGCGTCTCTGGTGTAGCGTGAACACGGTGTGTGTGTAGTGGTGTGTGTCATTTGCTGTTGCTGTCATTCCTGACAGCTCATCGGGAGCCATCGGGAGCGATCTCAGCGATCTGTTTAAGCTCGACGAGTTTCCGGGAGTCCCGAACTAAATTATCAGTGTTATGACGCGCGCTCGGGCGCGTCTGGCGTAGAAACCCATCCGGCGGCAATCGAACGAAATAATGGAGGCCGAGAACGAGGAGGTCGCGCAGCCCGCGACGTCGACGCCAACCGAGAACCATAACCACAACAAACTTCGCAGACGGAACGTGCCCGAGTCGTCGGCCAAGACGACGGATGACTCGGCGACGAGCGATCGCGTGCCCCTCGTGATCCTGCCCGATTCCACGAGAGCGTGGCACGGCGGCGCCGTGCCGCGGATACCGGACCCCGCCGACGTGGCCGCGATCGCGGGCAAGCAGCGGAACGGCGTGCTAACTCACGAGGACGATCGCGGCGCGACTACGGACGCCCTGACGAGCCGCGAGAGGATGAAGATGAGCGTCATCCGCGGCAGCGTCGCCAATCCGGATCTCACGTTAGGAGAGCTAAGACTGCTCGGCTGCAGTAGCGAGGGCTTCGTTAATGGTACTTTGCCCAGGTGACGGTACATTATGATCAACAAGGAACCTTAGGATATAATCTCGCTCAGAGAATTTTACTGGTTTTTCCAGTCGACATTTTGTCGATGTGGTTTTCCAATACAGATGCTATCTCGCTAATGTCACTTGTGCAAAAATTGGTTCCTTTTTGAGAATAATCCTGTTCTCTGTGACTAAGTCTTGAAATCATGAGGATGATCTGTAGATGATGTACGAAGGGTACTGTGGCCGAAGCTTTTGCGACTGGCGCAACCGGAGCCCGCGCCTGTTGACGGACTAGAAACTGTACATACTTATATACCAAACGAGATTTACCAGCAGATATTGAAGGATGTGGCGCGTAGCGGCAGTCATATCTCGCAGAGCGCAACGGAAAAGGAGACGGAAAGTTTCCAGGAGCAGTTAACTCAGCTTATGTGCTGGGTACTTCATAGACATTCCCATTTGAAGTTAGTATATTTAAGCTTTAATAATGCTTATTGCATTTTTGTGATAAATTTACGTACATATAACTCGTGTCTTGTCGCAATACAATATAAAATAATGCGTACTTAGTTACTACCAGGGATACAATGATGTAGCGGCGACTGTGTTACTTGTGATGGGATTACAAGCGGGCTTACACGTGCTTGAAAGTATCTCGCTAGAATTCCTGGAAAGATTCATGGAAAAGACTATGGAAAAAGTGAATCAAGAATTATTCTTTATATTTGCGTTGCTGGAGAGAGTACACCCTACTCTTTTGGAACACTTAGAAAAGTTAGTTCTTATTAGAACATAATGTCTTAGATTGTTTTTATTATTTTAAATTTATTTTAAATAAATGTTTCTATTCTATATGAAATTAATGGTATTCCATATGTAAATTATCTTGAGATTCTACATTCTTTTTTTGTTTCGATTACATTCTTATTTTATATGTTTGCTGATACTACAATAATCTCATTACTAATAGCAGAATTCCTTTTGCTCTAGTGTAGAACTGTTTCCACACTTTGCCTTGGCTGAGTACACAACATGGTATGCGCACAAGTATGCGGAAAATCGAAAATTGTTACATAGATTGTTTGATTTTTTCCTGGGTAGTCCCCCGCTCATGCCTCTCTATTTAAGTACAGTAATAGTTGCACATAGAGCTACAGAAATTTTCAGTACCACACCTGACATGGGGCACACACATAAGGTGTTATGTACGGTGAGTACCGAGAAAATAATTGACTCTGAAAGAAGAATAGAATTATTTAATGTAAGTTTACGTTTTTAGTTGCCCGACGACTTGCCATTTGAAACCCTTATGGTAGAAGCAAAGAACCTATATCGACAATATCCTCCTGAGTCTATCAGTAACGATGTCAGGGATTATGATCATAAGAGAAAAATTAAAGAGCAAGAATGGAAGGCAAAAGCAGAAGCGAGCCGTCAAGAGAGAGAAAGACAACGAAAATTAAAAATTGTCCAGTCAACGCCAAGGATATCTTATCGCATTAGAAGTTACAAAACCATCACCGTTGTGACCATTTTAGCTTTGGGAATATATGCTTTCATACGATCTTCGACAGGGCTTAACTGACATTAAGAGATATTATTTGTTGTAACAAATTCGAATTTTTTTACATATTTTCTAAAATATAGACCCTCCACTTCTTTGATATATCGCTGAGATTTGGAACAAAGATTTCAAAGTAGTAAGATTGTATAAAAGCAAGCACCAAAGAAATTAAGGAGCAAGGAGTAATGTGTTGCTAGGAATAATTGAGAAAGGTTTGGTTATCAATATTTGAGTAAATCTGTTCTAGGACACATGAGTCAGAATCTTGTGCATTCCTACGCTGCCTTTATGCTGTGTTCTGGAAGTTCAAGGTTGACCTGAACTTTTTAATATGTTTAAAAAAAATCACAAATATATAAAAATTTAGAGGACAGCAACAATTTCAAATATTCAGAATTGCTAAAAGTTTGGACCTAAATGAGATATCTAATAAAACGTATACAAAAGTTTTGTGCATGATATGTATATTGATTATAATTATGTTACAATCTGTGATTAGAAGAAATTTTATCTATTTGTAATTATATATACATTTGCCAAGAAAAATTATAATAGTTAATCATGATGATCAATAATAAAAACATTTTATTTTTTAGCAATATTCATTTATTATCATCTTTGATAATGAGTTTTTTCTTCATAATAGTTTATACATCGTTTTATCTTAGAATTGTATATTTAATTATGCATTGTCTAGTTCATCAGGTTTGATGGCATTAAATATTAAAGGAATCCTGATGTTAATGCATTACATTTTACTTAGGATATTTATTTTTCACTATTTTGTATATGTAATTTTGTAGAAACTTTCAATGTGGTCTGATAAATAAGCTTATATTATAAGTATATATTTACAGATTTATTTATACCAAAAGAGGTACAAGTTAGAGCTGGACATTATTAAGAAAATTTTGAAGTTGTAAACAGAAACTTAGAACATTTGCCATGTTTGTTGTGACATTTCTTAAGGAAATGCTTTTTACATAAAATTTCTTGAGTCTTAAATATTATTCTATACATATATAATCATAAGTGTTCATTGCAATTATAAATCGATGTAAATATATAAAACACATTGGTATATATTTATAATACAATGGATTTGTGACTAGTAAACCATGAAACTCGGATTTCATTGTTATTGTAAATTGTGCTGTATCAGCCACTAAAAAAATATGTTACTATACAATATAGAAACACTTTATATGTAGGATATTATTACTATATATCGCTAGTCATGTTAACTCGATCACTCTTTGTTTCATGTGAGATCATACAACGTAAAAAAAAATTGATAATATATACTGAATACATACACATAAAGAGGAGATGAAGTATTATATTTATAGAATGTGAGAGCATAGCCAGTTAATGTGAGTGGAAGTATTGACATTTAGAAAATATTTTTCTTTTGTAACTGCACCACTTTATAATATTCCCAATTGATATTTGCTAGTATGTTATGTAATGATATATTTTAATGAACAATGTAGTTAATAAAAATATATTTTCAATTACACTGTCGTATATTTTTGATAAATTATTGAAAATATAGATGAGATTACGTCATTAAATTGATAAAACCTTATTTCGCAACCTTGTTAAAATCATTTTATACTGTATCTTGAGTCTTAATCTATAGATCAAGATTATCAAGTAAAAAAATGTTAAAAGAATTTAATGATGTTAGCTAATCTGTTATATCCTTTCGTATCACTAAATAAAAGCCACGTTACACTTTTAAAACTGCCTTAACATATGCTAAAATATCAGGATTTCTCAAGATTTCAGTGTGATCTACTCCAGGAAAACCTTGATTATAAATTTTTTGTTTCTGTGACTTCTGCCAATGTGTACACGCTTCCAAACTCCTTATGTTCACAGTCCCGTCGCCATCCCCAAATATCAGTTGAGGATAACCATTTACACTTGTACCCGGCTTATAATACAACCTGAAGAAAAATTAATCCAAATTTTAAACGGTTTCTCATCATAAATTTAAATATAATTATCTAAACTTTTTATACACTAAACTAAAATAACAGATATACAAACTTTTCTACAGTGTTCACTTTGCTGCCGTATAAACAATGTACTTCAACACCTGGAGCTGTAAAATCCAATTGGTATTTCTCATTGTCTTTTCTGAACTCCCAAGCGTTGGAAACGTCTATGTCTCTGTAAATGAAAATATTTCTGAAAATATTCGCGAACGAAAAATGCAAGAGCTATAATAATTATCTGGATAATCGCCATACATAAAATATTCTTGCAAATTATTCAATGTGTAATTTTTCTGATCCGATTGTATCAAAATCTCAGTGTCTTTCCAAAATAGTTTCGAGGGTAACAACCATCCCAGACTTGGACTCGTTATTTGTTCGTCTCTTAGTACACTTTCACGAAGAAAATATGCGCCCAAGTCATCTCCTGTATTAGACACAAGTTTAAAATGTGTAAAGCATTATATTTTGTAAAATAAGATAATAGGTGGAAAATTATCGTATTGTACTATTTTTAACTCAAGTTATCTGACAATAATATAATGAGTTCAATAATGATTAATGATGAGCGCAGGCACAGGTACAGTCTTGCAGATAAGATTAATATATTCACCAATGGCAAACACTTTGATCGCCTTGACAGATCCTGCCCACACGGCACTAAGTGTGATCAAGGAATTTATGTATTTATCCTTCCATTTCTGACTCTGACGTTGTAACATTATAAGAGTCATAGGTCCGCCCATACTGTGAGCCAGTAACGTCACTGGCGTGTTATTATTCATTGTATACGTCTCCTCGACCAGATCCTTCAGCTTGGCGAAGAATTCTTCGTTCTCACCTGGAGTTCAAGATCTTTATCTCGGTAAATTTGTAGTATAATTGAATAAAATACACATTGTTAAAGCCAGCGCGTAATGCCCGTCCAAACTAACTTATTAATATTGTTCTTTTTACATACTGGGTCCTTTCCTGAAATCATAAGGCGCCCCACGCAGCGATAGATTCCTGACATATCCCAAGTCGCTCACCAGCATATTTCCAATATCCTTGAAGTACGAGCCCGGCGAGGCCCTACTGGGATCTATATACTCGACCACCAACGGATCGCCCCATCCTGGTATCCTTATATCTACTCCGGGCTGATTACTAGTAGTTCTGGTCACATTGTCATAATTCAATTTAAGATTATCGATCTGCAATAAGATACAAAAAATGTACTTTCAAGTTATCAGTCGGAAAAGGCGAACCCACATATGATGGAGTGACGATCGTACAAAGCAGTCTATCACGACAGGTACAAGCAGTTCCATGTTCAGCCACAAGCTAAAATAATCGTTGGATACTTTCTCGCAGATATAATGCACCACCGACGACTTGTTAATCTTTGCCTCGACTTGGCTGCCGCCATCACCTGGAACTGGAATATCATTTTTCTTCGTGAGTAGACGCGCTCAACGTCTCGATAAGTCGATATCTCCAACAGTTCTATGACACTACGATAAGAGAATCATACAAAGCGGGCACTCTTCAGAGCCGTTATAGACCCCTAAAGTGCAAGAGAGAAAGAGTCAGGATCATTTTTGGCGAGCGAGCACGTTTTTTAAGGGCGATTAAAAATTAAAGGGCTTTCAAGTAACTTACCTAAAATAACGGGCGATAATTGTTTCGTTTTGACGCGCCAGGAGCTCGCCGAGCGTGCGGAGAGCGAGAGAAGGATTGTCGCGCTCAGAAGAGCCGCCAGGCGCATTTTTCGTCGCGGCTACGTGGATTTTAAAGCGGCAGGTGGATTCTCGCGGACAAAGAGAGACGTGTATCCTGGGGAGTCAAATACCTCGCGGAGCCAAACTCGATCCTCCTCTCGAGTGTCTTCTCCCTGATCTGACGAATTGTGTCGAACGAAATGGCAATTTAGTGCTCGTCACCCACCGCGTTGTTTATGTATCAATTGTGGTAATCAGCTGACGTCGTCTCGCCCTCGTCGTCGCACATGCGCCGGAAGTAGGGGACACTCGCGATCGGTGACGGGCCAATCGGAGCGGCGAACGAGATTACGTGTCGTTTGTCCTCTGCTGGCACGTTTTCGCAAGCGACCGTGTAAGTAACCGATCGTTTTATGCGTATTTATCATATTTGTAAAAACATGTTGTCAAGCGGGGTCGATTTACATTGTCGATCGATTAATGCAAATTAACTTTAATCTCAGTTTAAAACTTACCTTTTATCTTTTTCTAAACTTAGAAACTAGAAAAAGATAAAAAATAATAATTAAAGTAAAATAATAAGCGACTAAATTATCGTAAGTTACTACAGAAGTAATTAACGCTCGCGTAAACGTAGTATATATGAGTCCATTTTGCGCTAAACGAAACGCGAAAATTGCAGTATTAAATCAATTAAGAAAATAATGAGCATAGAGCCGCACAGTGTGTTATATAGCGTTGATAATTGATTTGTTAATCGTCTGAGCTTTTAATACTTATATTTATTATGCGTTTCTTAATTAAATTTTATTAGATATTTCATAAAGGAAGGGCTAGCGATTTACAATTCAAATTCAAAACAAACGTTTCGGCCCTAAATGTGGCCTTCATCAGTGTGAAAAAAATTTACAAAATTGGTCGTTTAATAACAAATAAGTTTAAGTAATTAACCGAAAATTATAAATTGTAAATTGTAAATTGTTTAGGGTCGAAACATTTGTTTTGAATTTGAATTGTAATATATAAATTTCAAGCATTAAGAATGAGCTTTGTTCGCTAACCCTTCTTTTCTGAAATTGTTTATATTATGCGAACTTGATTAACTAATTGTTTAGATATGTTTTGACTATAATTTTGTAAGTACGCTGAAGATGGTCTTAGTTGTAACAGACCGAAACGTTTGTAGTTCATTTTAATACAAATACATAATTATCAACGCTAATGCCGTGTTGCGATATGTTCATTATTTTCTTAAGCAAAAATTGCAATTTAAGAATGTAGATGAAGCAAGCAGATATTTTTTTGTTTTATAGACAGATTATATTGCTATTTCTATTGTCGATTTCGCAAGTGTCAATCGGTCAGGATCGACTCGAAGATAAAAAACAGATAAAAACAAGTCCGAGCACAAAACATAACAAAATATATGATTCATATTCAATCGTGTGATGTTCTGACGTTTCGAATTGCGAAAACATCGTTTTGTTTTGAACTGTCTTTTCGCATAACTTATATGTATTTGCTATCCTCTCGTGCACGTTCGTGTCGATTTTTTTTTAACAATGGGTGCGTTCAGCCGATACTCCGCTAGCCTAGCAATCGTGAGCAGTCGCTCGTTTTCGCTCGTTTTCTCTCCTTTGACTCAATGGATTAAAAGGAGAGGAAACGAGCGACTGTTCACGATTGCTAGGCTAGCGGAGTATCGGCTGAACGCACCCAATACTTGACTTCTCCTTTTATCGTACTTAAACCTATAATTTATTCCAATCTTAAAGACATCTTATGTCCCGATTTTGGACATGGTGTATTACCGCATATAATTCCACGTGTTGGTGTCAATTTTGACTTTCTTTTTTACCTCGATTCTCGCTCCTTCGCCTAAATTGATCGAGGCCAAAGTCGCGATAGAATCATGCGATAGAATAGAAGATGAGAAGCATACATTTGAATAAAATTCAATTTCTCGTCGGGGGAATCGAGGATTGTTGGATCGATTGACAGTGCTTAGCACCGATTATCACCGTAGCGAGAGCACGCGACGAGTAGGTACACTAGGTACGGCGACGTCGCGTCGTCGCATGCGCCCGCTTCTGGGAGGATCCAAGATCCAATCCATTATCCATTGCGTGGTGCGCGAGCCGGACGAGCCGAGCTCTTAACCCTCGTTCCTATCCTCGCCGGGCGAAGCGTCGAGAGGATGGCCGACATCAAGCAGGACCACAAGGGCGAGGACGTCGACAGCTACGGGATGGGCAACAGCGCCGACCCGAAGAACATGCAGGAGCTGACGCAATACGTGAGTCCGCGTATTTACGCACGGGATGACGATGACGCATCCGGGGACATTCCGTCGCGACACGACCCTGACGCTACGTTGACTCCTTTGCAGGTGCAAACGCTGCTGCAGAACATGCAGGACAAGTTTCAAACCATGTCCGACCAGATCATAGGAAGAAATATCCTTTTTCACGCGCATAACCTGAAAGCGATGCTGTATGTGTGCGGCTGAAGCGGCATTTGAAGAAATCTCTGTGGATACACTTTATTTTGGAGTATCGTGAAACTTATAGGGGTCCCCAACTGGTCTGTGTACTTGATCCAACCCTCCCCCTTTCCCTCATCTGTGAAGTTCTATCTGCCAAGAAATTTCGACATTTTAGTAAAAAGAATTTTAAAATTAAGGTATTTTGTTTTTATACGATTTTCAAAAGTTTAAATTTATTCGGTCTCCAGTTATTACAAAAATTTTAATATGGCCCTCTTTTGACAAAAAAGATTGGGGACTCCTAATGTAAACTGAATGTCTGTATTAGTATGTGTTGGTTTTTTCTGTTAACGTTATTGCTGAACAGTACATTTCTTTTTCTGAATGCGAGTAATAAATAGTAGCTGCTTTTTGTCTGTTTAGTTTCGTATAAGACTATGTTTTTATTGGTTTCAATAACTCGGAGAAATATGTGTCTGTGTGCACTTCTAGCATTTTACTGGTTTGTGTTTTTATTCAAACAAAGTTATGTCAACAGATTAAATGCATGTGCTATTTAGGTATATGTAGATGTCCAATCCTAAGCTATGTTTATTTTTTAACTGTATGCATGTTATGCTTTGCTTAATTTTATTGGGTGTTACACAAGCTAATATACATTTATTTTTAATATTAATATTGTTACGAGATCCTTAATAAGAAATACTAGATGAAATGGGCAACAGAATAGACGACCTGGAAAAGAATATCGCGGACCTAATGACGCAGGCGGGAGTCGAAGGTGGTGATAAATAAGCTCATCCTTTTCTCAGTGCACTGATCTATAAGTAATGACTTATATAAAATATAGCCATACTTCTTGTCACGGAAAAAAAAAGAAATGTATACCGATAGTGAGAACCATCCTTTTGTTACAATACAGAAAATAAACTTACATTTTTTTAGAAACGTATTTTGATATTATTTTAAAGGATTCTCTCGTTACAGATAACCGAGACGCTACAACTACGGATATAACGATTAGGCAACTTCAGTGAAATGCGGTTTACGTTGTTTCTTCGTACTATCTTTATCTTGGAGAAGTTTCCCTTTTCTTATCTTATTCAAAACAATTGCGTATCTATGCGGACGCTTGAACCGATAAAAAAAAAAGAGTACAAATAAGCATTCTTCAAGATTAAGCAAATATTTACTTTGTCTGATTCAGTCTGTAAGGTATACGGTATATTATAGACGACATTAAAGACTTCTGACACGTGGGAATTGCTGGGACGGGTTTGAGAATGAAGCGTTTCTTTACTTTGTATCCAGCATGTTTTGACACTCTTTTCTAAAAAGACAGAAAGGCAAGATTAAAAAGGGCGATTAAAATTACATAGATTTTTGCCTAGTTCTCACTGGCTTCTCTCGAATTGACTCCGATTCCGTTTCCTCTGTACTGTCTGGATATTCTTCGACTTGAACCGACTCGGAAGAATTTGTGAACGCGGTCCGTATGGAATCCTACAATTTGCCACGTTAAGATTCAAGAATAGAACTACGGAGCGATGTATATTCTCATTTTGCACTTACCGCAGATTCAGTTCCTCGATTAGCTAATTTCTGCGACGCCATGGGCGAGGATGCGAATCGAGTGGCTAAGTTCGTTAACGAGTAAGCTTGTCGAAACGAAGTTCTGCCCACCGTGTCTAATCTTGCGACGGAATCGGGAACTCGCATTGTCTCTCGAAATTCCTAGATACCGAAATGATGCTTTATTTGAGATAATGATAAAAAAATATTGCGTCAGCATAATAAAGTTAATATTGAAATGTCAAGTCATCATTGAATCGTAATAAAACAAATATCAGTTTGAAGCAACGTTTACCCCATTTATCTCTCCTCTCGCGCTTTGATAGTCCTGCACGTCAAAGGATAAACAATGTTGACTACGTATGTTTTATAAATTTCATAATTCTTCTCTTTAACACTTTAACTTTAACACAGAGGCAGGATGTAAAAGAAAATTGAAATTAGATCTTCTCACCTCAATATCTTTAATTTCGTCAACAGCTGCAACATCTTGATATGCCTTGGTCAAAAGCTCAAGAGCCTTTGTATGAAAGCTCAATTCGATGGTGACAAAATCTAAAAGTATGGACTTCAAATCGTGCAACTTTCGTCGTTCGAATGAGTCGATCTGTTCCTCGAGTCCTTTCACTACGCGGGATACTTCAATGGACGCTTTTGTCAACTCCGATTCGGCTTGCGACTAATATTCTTTTTCGGTTAAAGATTTTTGTAATACAAGATGATGAAATACAACGACAAACTAATTATACACTTCGACGTGATTTTACCAATATTTATATTGATCTTAATTATAATTTAATTAATTTTTGTCTTATTGTTTTACGAAAGGCATAGAATCAGTTAAATTATAGTTAATAAATTGTTACTGATAAATTTAATTGTTACTGAAGAAAAATGAATCTTCAGTCATAAGGATACTATCATTTGACGATTCCTGGGATTTCTTTCTCGAACTTTATCCAGGTGTCTTCGTCTCGTGAGTTCTCTGTCGCGTGCTGCGAAAGTATTTTTTACATCATCGCGGGCATGCTTGCAAATCGTTGCGTATTGTGAAAGAGGTACAATTACTTTGGAATCCAATCTTTGTACTTCCGCATCTCTGTAAAGCAGATCGGTAATTTAAAGAATGGAAATGTAAATTGAAATAATGTAATAAGAAAACATACAATGCAACTGAAAAGAAAGGCAAATCATAAGAAGATAGATTTCTAAGAGACTTTTAATAAACTTTCTTTTATCTTTTGCATTTGGTGACGAATAAAAAGCCGTGATTGTTTAACATAAGATGATAAACGTTTTCCTTTAATTTTAATGTGAATAAAAATGGCAACACGATATATTTTTATTTCTTTAGTTACACATACCAATACCAAAAAATGTAATAATTATTTATAAATAAAAAATAAATTAAAATTGTTCTCTTTTTATATGCATTACGAAGAAAATATAATTATTTGTGAAACAGAGAGCCAGTTTTACCTATAATCGCCGATGACCGATAACGTTGCGGAAAAATTTGCGAGCCCGGCGCTCAGTGATCGATTTATGATTTCCGAATCCGCATAAGTTTGTATTATTTTAGCCAACTCGTCGCCCTTATCACGCAATCTGAAAAAAATTTAAGCTAGTGAATAGCGAACGGAACGAGGCACATCGTCGTCAAAACAATAGGGAATAGGAGCATGTCACTAAGGAAAAATCGATATGGTTTATCAGTCGTAGCGAAGGAGCACCTGGCAGCTTTTCTGGCGAACGCAGCGAATATCGTGCACAGCTCGGCGAAGTGTTTCTCCACGCCCGTTATGCGATCCTGTACGAACTTCGCTTCCTGCTCGCTAACAAACGAAATATAGTTTTTATTTTAATTTAACGGTTCGTTTACCGATCTGTCAAATAGATGCGGTGCAAAATTAAAAAGAAACCATATATGTTTGCGGCTTTGCTTAAACTTACTACAAGCTGCTTTGAGAGCGCGCTCGAAGCATCTCTCTCTCAAAATGTAATTTAAAAAAATATTCGACGAACTGTTTTGTACCACAGATTATTCTGCCGCGATAATATCTCGCGAAGCGAAAAACAATTTCAGTCGTTCCCTTTCCCGCACGCTATCGCTGACAGTTGCCTACTAGCCTGGCAGGTGGTGTATTGCCGCAGGTGAAGCTACGTACATTTTCTATACTCCCTTCAGGCTAACTACGTAGAGGGTTGATTACACGAGGGATGATTCAAGTTTGATCCGATCTGTTTTATGTCCTCTGTTCCCTTTCTGTTCTGCGACTGCGATACACATTCATATTTTATATTTTCTCCACAAAGATTTGGACGTTTCCCTCTCCTGTTTTGTTTATATTACAACAAAATTATATTAGACATATCGCTATAAATTTTGTGCATTTGTATGTAATCTTTGTATTAGAAAAATAAAATACTTTATAAATTAAATACTTATAATTAACTTGTATTTAAAATTTTAACTTATTAATTAAATCATGTCTATTTTATATCAAGTGTAGGACATAAACACGGTATTGATTTTACTTGGCTCCGCCGACTTTGTCTTATAGTATTGCAATAAGATAAGAAATTTGACAGGCAACACGTCAAGCTATATTTATAAAAATACTTCATTGGTACACGATTACAATTAATATGTAATAAATAACAAATTTGCAACAATATATTTTTAATTCGCAGCTAACTAGTGTCTTTTATCACAGCAAATGAATGTCCTGCACCAGCTCCCACAAGAACGGCAATGGAATCAGATGAAATTGGGAGAACCTCTGGCCGCAGAACATTTTCTGTTTTTCCGTTACCACAATTTCCATGCTCATTCCAACCCCAGCACAACACTACTCCATCATCTGTAAAATTAAATTATCATTATTAAATACTAAAATATGCTATGCACGTGTATACTAAAGTATTTTTTAAATATTGACTCGTTTTGTTTTAAGATATTTTTTAAGTTTAAAGAAATTTGTATCCACCCTTGTTTAACAAAAAAAAAAAAAAAAAAAAAAAAAAAAAAAAAATGGTGATGATTAAAAATCACAAATATGCATTCCCAATTTTATAAAATTTTAATTATTTGACGCATTTTTTAATTTTTTAATAAATGTATTTATACATCTGTTTAGATGTTTATTGAATCTAATGATTTACCGGTTAAGGCAACATTATGCTCTGATCCAACTGAAAGTTGAACGATTTTCGGAACATGCTCAACACATTGAAGTCTCTCTTCTGTAGAAATTCCATTTTGTGGTTTCGACGAAGAACGGCCCAATTGACCATAATCATTTCTTCCCCACGAAAAAACAGTACCGTCTGAAATTATATATACTACATTTTGATACACATGTAAACAATTCGATTGTATAGTAGCAAAAACGTAAAGTGAATTTAGTTTACTTACTGCTTAAGATATTTATGTGACTCCAACCTGCATGAATTTGAATTTGTACATCGTGTTGTATGCCGGAGAGTGGAATACATACGGGTTGCAATATTCGTGTTTCAGAAAATGTCTTAGGAAAGAATCCCAACTGTCCATGCTTGTTGTCACCAAAGACATATGTATTGTACGTTTGCCTTTTTGTTATGACGACGGTGTGATATTGACCACAGGCAACATTTTCCACGTTTTCCTGCATTGTCCATTCTGCAACTGTTCACCTGCGTTTTAATTAAGTGGAGACATTTTCTTTTTCTTACTATACAGTGTATACCCTGTACTTGTGTATACTTCAACCCCATCGAATAGCTGTCAGCTATTTAAGTTAAAAGTAATGAAATAAATTAATAAATGATGTAAATAAGTACAAAATCAATAAATGTATAAAAGTGATAAATAAATAGTAAAAATATATTATATAAATACATAAATAATAAAATAATAATAGTTAAAAATATGTTAAAAGATTTTGAAAAGATACTCGAGTAAATTCAATGTCCTTATTAATTCCTTAGAATTCTTTAACTCACTTATTTTTACAGGATAAAAATTGTCCAAAATATAACGATTTGTTATATACCTTTGGTGAATGCATCAAGAAGAGGATAAGGCTGCATGGTTTCTGGATTAATTAAACCCAATTGTCCTCTATTATTTGATCCACAAACATAGAGCTCACGATTCTCCATTACTATGGCGGTGTGTCGCAAACCCATCGAAACGTTCTTTATTTTTTCGCCGATCAAGATTTTGTGGGGATGAGATATTGAGAGAAAGACCGAAGGATCCAAACTCAATTGGCCATAGCGATTGGAACCCCATACGTATAACTCGCCGTTTCTCGTTAACGCCAGGGAACTATCCCATCCACAGCAGACGTCAATTACTATTTCGTGTTCAAGAGCACGTATCCTCTGAAACGTTAGAATGTTTTCCTTCTCGATTCCAGTGATTCCAGCTTGTCCTTTGTTGTTCAATCCACAGGAATAAACGCGACCATCCACATCCAAAACCAGTGTGTGTCCAGCACCACCGACAATTTTCCTTATAGCTTCCGGCTTCAGGGAACATCCAGATAAGTCAACTTCTTGAGGTAGAACAAATTGCTCGGACAATAAACCTTGTCCTAATTGACCATGGGAATTTGCACCCTGCAAAATATATTTATTAGACTTTTCAAATTGTTTATAGGTTGCTACAAAGTACAGATTTACATTTCAGTCGCATTCAAAGAATTGGAAAAAAAAAAAAAAAAAACACTTTTGCCGTTTATATTCACTGCATGCTTGCGTGCACGTGTATAACATATGATGAATATTCTTGTTAAACGACAAATGACAAGGTTGAATATTTTATATATGATCTTACCCACGAAACCAGACGATACGTAGGCATTATATCCGAATTATATTCTTTATTAAGTATTTTCGTTCTCGATGATTCAGAGCGGATTTCTTTGCACCGTTCCACATGTCTATACATTTACGTATATACTACATCGTAGGCGCAAATGGTATAAAGATAACCATTAACCATGATTGCCGATTGGAACTACGAGTCACATCAAATAGAAATTTATGCTAAGACTCCATAGACGCGGAAACGCCGTAGAGTGCATTGACCAATCAGAAGGCTGCCGCAAGTCGCCTGCGGCAAAATCAAAATTGGTGATTGGTCAACGCACTCTGCCTGCCGCATGGTGTTTCCGCGTCTATGGGTCTAGCATTATGCTATAGCATAAGAAGAAGATCGTAAACGGAGTATGCCGGTATATTATACGAACGAGTCGCACTGAAAAACGTAGATTAACCGAAGAAGAATTTACTCCTGGCTGTGTGCAGCGTTATGTTAAACGCTGTTATTTTCATAAGCGACGTAATATAGGAAAAACAAGACGAGCAGGATGCAGGAATCCGTGAAGTTCAATCTTAAGGAGGTTAAGTCGGACCTTCTGCACGCGATACACGAATGCTCTCAACGTGGTTTGCTGCACACCACCAAATGGTACGTGAATTTCTGCTCGAATAAACGTATCGCGGTCTCTTTACGCATACGATTTTAGGATTTTATATTCATGTTTGTTGTAGGTTAGCGGAATTAAATTATTCGTTGAAGAACGTAGATATAGATCCACACGATTTAACAGCGAACATGAATGTACCAGTGATCGGCGAAGCGGAGGATATCTATACCTTGGCTAAAACGTACTTCGATCTGAAGGAGTACGACAGAGCGGCGTATTTCACGATGGACTGTATAAGTCCTAAGATCAGATTTCTACATTTGTATTCGCGCTATCTGTCAGGGGAGAAGAAGAAGATAGACGATATGACGGACGTGCCGCCGGATCCTCTGAAAAATGAGACTCTGAAGTATCTTAACGACGATCTAAAGGCGGATCACCGAGCGTCGAAGTTGGATGGCTACGGATTGTATCTTTTCGGCGTGACGCTGAAGAAGCTGCAACTCACTAAAGATGCGATAGATGTTTTAGTGGAATCTATACATAAGGAGCCTATGCATTGGGGTGCGTGGTTAGAGCTGGCTGCATTAATCACGGACAGGGAGAAACTAGAGAGTTTGTGCCTGCCTAATCATTGGATGAAGTATTTCTTCATGGCGCATATGTACTTAGAACTGCAGCTCATAGATGAAGGCCTAGCGTTATACTGCCAACTGCAATCAATGGGCTTTCAAAAGAATGGTTACGTTTTAGCTCAAACTGCAATTGCAGTGCATTATAGAAGAGGCAAGTGAGCAAATTCAGTATTTAGCATGGATAATATACAAGCTTTGCTGAAAAATTTAGAAAATCGATGTTTTCTTGATTATACGAATTATTTTAGGATTTGGTTAAATCTATCATTCGTTCATAATTATTAACATATATGTCTATGAATATCATATATCATGGAAATATTTTTTATTTTAGATGTTGATAATGCAATAGAAACTTTCAAAAGAATAATAGATGAAGATCCTTATTGCCTTGATAACATGGATACGTATTCAAATCTACTTTATGTAAAAGAAATGAAAGTTGAACTGGCAGATCTGGCACACAGAGCTACCGAGATAGATAAATATAGATTGGAGACTTGTTGTATAGTTGGTGAGTATTAATTGCATCCCTTTGAAAGACATAAGTATAACAACGTTGCATTTAAGGAGAACATACTTTAAGAGATAAAAAAAGGTATGTCTTTTAGGAAATTATTACAGTTTAAGAGCTGATCATCAAAAGGCAGTGATGTACTTTCATAGAGCGTTAAAGATGAATCCGCAATATTTGTCAGCTTGGACATTGTTAGGTCATGAATTTATGGAAATGAAGAATACCAATGGTGCTATCCACAGTTATAGGCAGGCGATTGGTAAATTCTTTGAACACTTTCTGCTTGCATCGGTATAACATGTATTTTTAATTTATATTTTTTAACTTGCCAGAGGTGAATAGACGAGACTACAGAGCATGGTACGGCTTGGGTCAGACGTACGAAATTTTGAAAATGCCTTTTTATGGACTCTATTATTATAAACAAGCTCAGTTATTAAGGCCCCATGACAGTAGGATGGTTCTAGCTTTGGGCGAAGCATACGAGAAGCAAGATAAAATTCAGGACGCACTTAAATGCTATTACAAAGCATGCAACGTAGGTGACATAGAAGGAATGGCACTCTTAAAATTAGCAACGTACGTATCATGTAGTGCTGTATGACAAAAATAATACATATGTATAATTTCTCGTTTTGTCACAGGCTGTATGAGAAATTAGGAGAACACGATCATGCAGCGGCAGCTTATACAGATTTTGTAATGGATGAATCTCGAAGTGTCGACAGAACAGAGCTTAGTCATGCATATAAATATCTCGCACAGTATCACTTAAAGAAGGAACAATTGGATCAAGCTTATCATTACGCACAAAAATGCCTTCAGTTTGATGAAACAAAGGAGGAAGCAAAAGTGTTGTTAAAAACTATTTCTGAAAAAAGAACTAAAGTAGAAGAAACTTCTATGGTGGTAAGTAAAATCATTTTATAGTAATTAAACATTAAAGCAATTCAATTTTGTAATTTTTCTAGGTGGATGATATGAACGAAACGGACCCTGTAATTGAACAAAGAGCGCGAACGGATGCAACACCTGGAAGTCAACTATCGCCGATGAATCTCTCATTCGCACCTACGCCATAAACAAAATAGATATTTTCTACTTATAGTATACATAATTTTAATATTTGTAATTCTGTATACAAGTATACACATAAAATATTCAATAATTCTTTTGTATTGTATATTTAGTAAATTATTCTTTTTTCCTAAAGATTGCAATGTTAAAATTTCTCGAGAATTTCATGTTTTACGTTTACGCGAGCGTTACTTCTGTAGTAACTTACGATAATTCCTTCCGTAAACGGGATTTTGTAGTAACTTACGATAATTTACTCCGCGTAAACGAGTGATATATCGTAAGTTACTACAGAAGTAACGCTCGCGTAAACGTAGTATATGTCTATTTATGCTTATTATAAGAATTATTTATGCAGTCAATTCGCTAAAGTGTCTGATACTTTTTTATATAATGTATAATGCAATAGATTTGTGAATCATTTTCTGTCAATTATTTATTTATATCGTTATTTATGCCGTGAATTACATTGTATCATTGTATCAAAATATCCTTATCTCTTTAATTAAACCTAATGTACATAATTAACTAATTTTTATTGTATAAGTATAAAATGTGCAACTGATTACCAGTTGAAGTATTTAATTTGCATTCGGACATTTCTTCTTCGGCGAGTTATTATTGACCAATACCGTTTCCTGTAAATATATATTATATATTTAATAATATTTATATGTTCCTAGTAATTTTTTCACAATTTATTCTTTACAAATAATGGGATTTCTAAATCAATGTCTATATTTACTTCATTATCAGAATTGTTGAGGTTGAGGTAATTTCTTGTTTCTCTGAATCTCTGAATGATTCGTTCATGTGGCGAAGTTGCAACAAGACGTCGTGGATATTGATATTCTTTTCTTGCCGGCGTTAAACCTGAAAAGAAAAATTAAATGACTTTAGTTCACCTAAAATTAAAAAATCGTAATAAATACAATATTACATAAAAACCGGAAATTTACCTGTTGGCGTGTCGTGCCGTAAATCTCCAAGAAATTTCCCAATTTTTTCCTGTATTGAATGCAGATCCGTAATTGTCTTGTCATAACAAACAGACGATTTTTCGCTTTCACTTGTAAGCTTATCGTTCAGTTCTTTGGATGCTTGTAGATTTTTCTTTCTTAATTCTTCCGCAAGCTTTTGATGATCATGACTTCCTTGAACTAGTGTATTATAGATATTCTATAAAAAAAAAAAAAGAAGATTAGATATATTATCTGTGTGTACATTTTGCAAAATAATAATTTTAATGCTGCATAAGATAGATTTACTTTGACAGATCCAACAGAAGAAGAATTATCTTCCTTGAACTTTTGTTCCATTTGTTTTATGTTATCTTCGACATGTAATTTTTTCTGCACTAATACATCGCAATGACTATTTAAGTCAGTTTGAATTTCATCAGTCAAATTACGGCTATGTACTGCAACCTGCTCTGCTAACGTCCAATTCTGATAACAGAATAAAAAATGCTTATCATTAGTAGGTATATCATATTATCTTGTTTATTACTTTTATTTTTTAAAGCACCCGATAGAAATAATGATATTTCATCATACGTTTTTATCTGGGTACTTAATAATTTAAAAATTAATAGAAAGTTAGATGTCACCTCTTCCATGCTAGATGTAACATCGTTTTTTATTATATCCACGTCGCCTTGAATTCTCTGCTGTAGAGTCTCATTTCTCTCAACAGCCTTGTGGTAGTTATTAAAAATATCATTAGTCGTACTGTCGCAAACCTCATTAACACGATTTAAGGTGGTGCATGCGGTCGAATAATTCTCGGTCACATTTTCATTTAACTTGTTAAATTGTAGCCATAGATCTTCAAATGACTGTAAAATAAGAACAATATATAATTTGTGTAAAATTATTAAAAATATTAATCAAACAATAAACCAAAATGTTATTAACAAAATATCATCAGATAATACCTTTTTAAATCTTTCTTGCTCCTCCATAATTTTACCATCACCTTCACGAATAGCTTGTATATTCTGTTTTATCTCATCTATATTTTTATACAAATTATCACGTTCTTGCAACCTGTAGTTACATAGTTGTTTTATCGATTCATTTGTATATGCCAATACTTTATCAAACTTCTGAGATACCGCATCATTTAAACGATGTAAGTTCTCTACAATTTCCATGTTATTAACTTCTATAAAATCATTAATTTTCGATGTCAGTTTTAGGGACACATCATTTAAAAATTTACGTTCATTCTGAGTCATGTCAGATGAATATGCCATTTCTGTGTCCAGCCACTGGTGATAGTGTTTGTACTAAACAGAGAAGTTCGTCATATACGTTTTGTTTATTATATTATAGTTTTTACATAATGCATAAAAATTACTTACTGAATTATTTATGTTCTTTGTAAATTCATCTATTGCTAATTTTTCTTTATTAACAATGTCATTTGACATATGGCCGATTATTGAATCAATATCCTTTTTAAACAGTTCCATTTGTGAGCCTGTAAAGATAATATAATATACATATTTGTCAGATGCATCTTAATAATTTGTACTTACCGATGCTATTTTTCATAGAGGTACAAAACCCTATGAATTCCCGTGTATAAACTGCAACATTATTTTCCACATCTTGAAACTGTTTTGAAATGTTACTTCGGAACTGATGACTGATATGTTCATTTTCTTGTTCCAATTGTCTGTGGATGTTACATATATTTTAAAATAACTATACTAATGCTATCTGCATTATAAAATATCAACTGTTAAAAATATAATAAATGTGATAATAATATGATTGTCATTACCTCTTATAAGAAATTTTATCATGAAGCTTATTTACATCAACTGTTGCTGAATCAGCTACATCCAAGAGTTTTTTTGCTTCCGACAAAAGTTGTTTTTCTGTAGATACGTGTTTTTCTACTAAGTAACTTTGTTCTTCTTTCTCACGTTCTGTCATTTGTAAAAGTGCTGTAGTTGATTTCAAAGCATGTACGGTGGTTTCTAATTGTTTCTTAGTTTCGTGTAGATAATTAGTTTGTTCCATATGCTTTGTTTGTAAATCATTAAATATTTGCTAAACAGAAATTAGAATAATAATATTAATATTAATTATTGTAACAAAAAATACATTAATTATTATCTATTTACCTCCTTAGTCTCCATAGTTTCTTTAAGGACTTTAATGTGAGTTATTTTTTCTTCAATTTCCTTTGTCTGATTTTCAATTAATGTTTGCATCTCATTATAATTATCGTGTGCCAAATATACACCATTTCGTTCACGTGCTGCCACCAAGTCTCTTCTAAGTCTCTCAATTTCTTCCGTGTACTCTTTAAGTAGTGCCTTTTTAGACAGTTTCTGATTAATTTCAGGACGATTTGTGATATTTTTGGCACGTTGAGCATAATCTAATGTTGATAAGGTTTCCTCAACATTTATGCTCGCTGGAGACACTGTTGCAATGATTGACGTTTTCGTACGTCCACCTAATGACTCTTGCAAGAGTCTTGTTAATTTTGATTCCCTGGTCAATGTAAAACACACGAAAAAGAATAGATTGGATTAATTTTATTATAAATAAATAAATAATTATCAAATTTTAATGTTGATCTTTTAATTTCTTATATATTTGTATCTATAAAATTATATCAATATGTAAATTTGTATTACCGATATGGAATGTGAGGTGCTCTCTCAACAAGCGACGTTATAACTCGACCAAGAGTCAATAATGATTGATTAATATTTCCTGCTTCTCGTGCTCTCCTATCAACCGCACCAGATCTTCCAACATTTTCACTCCCAGCTAAATCTACCAAGTTTAATTTTCCAGTTTTTAAAAGTTCTTCTCCATCCACATTATTTTCTTTTATATGAATAGTGATGGAAAATACTGTATGGGAACGGCTGAAAGTATATAGTATAAAAAATATATAAATAATATATAAAATTTAGTGCTTTAAAAAATAAATAACACATTATGTATCTAATTTAAGATAACAACCTCGAGTGAGCATTCATTAAAGTTGCAGCCGTTTGTCTTTTCTCTGATCCCTTTTCTAGGATCTTATAAACTTCATTTTTATTATGTACAGTTACTTCCTCTAATCCATGAATGATCACTGAACCTTTTCTTGTAGCATCTTCATAAAGCCTAAAATAATCATCATACTAATATAATCTATTTTTCATATTTCTTAGCAAAAATGCAGTAATATTACCTTATTTTAGATGCATCATCACTAGGCGATAGCAAGTCAAACAGTTCTTCGTTATATAACTCGAGAAAGCTAACTCGTACTGTATATTCTTGTGCTTCCAACAAACGTAATTCATCAAACAAATGACTTAATGCACGTGGTATAATTCCAGCTTTAGTATCCTATATGTATAAAAACAAATTTAATTTGTACAAGCTTAATTGATACTATTATATTTGTAAATTATAGCAAAATATTAAAGTTGACTATTTTGATATTTGATACAAATAGCAAAACAGTCTAGTCAAGTCATATTTATATATGGTAAAATTATAAATTTATTTTTTTGATACAAATTACTCCATTTTATTACAATTTCAAGCATTGTCTTGATTCAATAAGCAGAAAGTTATGGTTTTCCTTATATTAATAAATATAAAAAAATATGATAGTAAGGCTATATATATTAAAATTTTATACGTCTATCATTTAATGCAATAATTAACATCATTTTATATAACAACTCACACTTTGCCAGTGCAATGTTGGATCATTGCTAACACCTTCCATAGTAAATGTCTTTCCAGTACTAGTTTGGCCATAAGCAAAAACCGTACAATTATATCCTGCCAATACTTCCTCGAGCAATGGGCTAACAACTGCATTATACACATCTATCTACAAATTACAACCATTTTTTAAGCATTCCTTGAAACATTCAAAATAGAAAATTTCATTTTTTATACAAAATATAGAAGTGTTATATCTCTACCTGTTTCGAAGAAGGTCCAAATACTTTGTCAAATGTGAATTTCTTTGAATGATTGCCTTGTGATCTTTCGTGGACCACCACTTCTTTGTTAGATGGCAATTCTAATACCGGGATAGATTTTCCAACTTTCTCACTTTGATTTATTGGTCTATTAAAGAAAAGGAAATCACTTTATAAGGATAATAGGCCTTATATCAACATATAAAGGCAAATAAAAAATAACAAAAATGTATGTACGTATTAGTTGTTTAATTTTTATTTAATAAAAAAATTATGATTGTCAAACAAGAGACAAAAGTACTTTTTCGAAATCTTTCAGGGCAGAATTTAATGCGCCTCTCGTTATGCACTAACAATAAGTTTCAGCTTCCTCAACAATAATGCGTCACAGCATCACAAATAATTGTCACCTACCTGACGCGCACGAAAACTTGTATATGCTGATTCTTATCCTTTTTCGTATTGCGAGCATCATTCATCTTGGATAATTTCTTGCGTAATTATCTCTCGCTACGGCAACACGGCTAGTACGATTTCACGTCCGTCAACGACAACACGTTTTATTTCGCGTTTATTTACTGTTTGTAAACGCCAGACGCGAGAAGTCAGCCACAGCCACAGTATCCGTTGAAGAATTTAAATTGAGATGCTTCACGCGATCGCCGCTAGGTGATGGCGTGATGGAAATCGCATTTTTTCAATGGCAGCCAACCACAGGGGATCTCGGATCCATGTATCTTTTCCCCTAGGGCTCGATTCTTGAATTTGCGAGAGAAACGTATACGAAAATTCTGCTCTTACAGAAACGTAGCAATTTGATTGGTAGGTAGTTGGATAAAAAATGATGAAGATCCAGGGGGTCGATTACGGTTCTTGAAACGAGGTGAAAATTATAAAAGTGAACAAATTTACTAGATTTCGACCAATAAAATCATAGATACCGTAGTGAATTTCCTCACTTTTGTAACTTTCACCTCGTTTCAAGAACCGTAATAAGCCCCCAGATTTTCTTTAAACTTGCAGTAAAATTATATTTAGATATTAATACGTATGTATGTGTGTTAAATTTGGGTAAGATTTACCGTAGTTTCCGAGATATGATCGCTTATGCTAGGTCTACAATGCGAGTCGTAAAGTTGTGAGTCGTAAGAATTGACCAATCACAATCGAATTTGAGGAGAATAATCGACTGTGATTGGTTAATTCTTACGGCTCACGACTTACGTAACGAATGACGTTAGAGGACGTGATGGAATTAATACGTCATTTGACATCATCTGCTACTGATGGGTGTATTTTAATTAACATTGCGTTTATGGCCACTGCATGAAGTAGAAAAACTAATATACTTGGACATGTATATTTGTCAATATCTAAAATAATCTAAAATCTAAAATAAGGATTAAAACAAAAAATTGAGCAAAAGTAATTGAATTTTAAAAAAAGTGCATGTTTAAATTTCGACGACACTGACCGTACGATATCAGAGTATGATAAATCCAAAAAAAATTTTATTAGATTAGCTCGGTTAGTTTCTTCGCAGTGTCAACGTCAAAATACTATTTCATTTTCTGTAACTTTTTTTATTTTATCGGTTTTTAACATTCTAAGAGAAGCAATAGTGTTTAAAAATCTGTTCTTGAATTTATATATAAAAGGATTCATCGTCTATTGAACTTTATTGATCAAGCCTAATTTTGACTAGTATAGTTGGGAAAGAACCATCTTAAAAGCCATGCGATAATCGGGTACCGTATCAATTGGTCTTTAGACCGTCAATTACTGCGGAGTGTCTCAAGCAAAAGAAAAAATGAAAAGAACGGAATCGTCTGTAGAGTCTACAGATTTGCCCAGGTAAGCGAGAAATGAGTTCACCTAAAATCGCATGTCTATTTTGGTTCTGTTAAGAAGTTATTGTAGTTATAATAGTTATCGTTGTTGTATTACAATAATTTATACTCTGATATATGTACAGGCGGTGGAGCACCATAAATTGAGACGCCTAAATATATTATATATCTAAAAAATAAAGCAAAATAGAAAGAAATGTTACAGACAAAAGTTGTAAGGTTTAAAAAGACGCATTTAATGCAGTATTAATTTGACCATAAAGTGGCGTTGCTAAAATCAAGTTTAGTCAACTTTACTTTTTTAAATAGAAAACCCCTATTTTTTATTGTATCATATTTTTCTATTAATAAATTTGAACAATTTTTGTCTGAAACTTTTTGAGATATTCAAGGAAAACTGATAATTTTTTCAATATTATATATTTAGTTTATGATATCTCGATAATTGTTTATGGTAAAAAACTTTTTGACTTGATTTGGTCTTAAGAATATGCTGTTGCAATAGTACTCCAACTTTTTTAAATATTTATGTATACATGAAAGCTTCAAGAAAATGTATGGTAAATATTGAGTATAGCGACCTCCTCTCCGAGTTCTCTGAAATTTTAAAATTTTGTGTATTTTGGGTCATAAAAAAAATTCTAAGAAGAAAATATCACGATGTCGGTAAGTAAGAAAATAATAATTTACGGATATATATTTTGTTTCTTATTTGTGGCGCCTGCACCAGAACGCGGCAACGCAGCAATAGCGGTGACTAATCACCGCTTTGTCAGTCAGTTATTTATCTATATCTATAAAGGAAGATGTCCTGACTCATTCATTCACTGACTCATCAACGCCCAGCCCAAACCTGAACCCCAGCCTGAACCGAATTTTTACCAAAAGTATATGAAACAGGGGTAGAATTTTCCGGGGAGTGTCACTATGTGTATAGTTTTTTGTTACCGATCTTTTTGGAAGCCGATTTTTTTAATTTTTCCTATTTTTCGGAAAATAATTCACCGAATCTCCCAATTTTTCGGGAAATAATTGATTGAATCTCAAAGAATTATACATGAAGCAAGGGTAGAATATTTCCCGGGGAGTGCTATCAAGTGTACTATTTTTTGTTACCGATTTTTTTGGAAACCGGTTCCGAATGATCGAATCTCAAAGAATTGTACATAAAATAGGGGTAGAATTTCCCGGGGAGTGCTATAAAGTATATAATTTTTCGTTACCGATCTTTTTGGGAATCGGTATCAGAAGTTTTTCGAATTTTTCGGGAAATAATTGATCGAATTTTAAAGAATTGTATAAAACAGGGGTAGAATTTCCCGGTGAGTGCTATAAACTGTATAGTTTTTCGTTACCGATCTTTTTGGGAACCGGTATCTTTTTGGAAATCGGTTACGAAATTTTCCAGAGACAGAGAGAGAGAGAGAGAGAGAGAGAGAGAGAGAGAGAGAGAGAGAGAGAGAGAGAGAGAGAGAGAGAGAGAGAGAGAGAGAGAGAGAGAGAGAGAGAGAGAAACTATTTGCGTGTCTTATTACGGCTGCGGTCCATTTGACGCTACAAATGCTTTGGAGCGTTTTTCTTCTCCTTCTTTCTTCATTGAAAGAAAAGAGAAGAGGAATGCTTCGAAGCATTTGTAGCGTCAAGTGGACCGCAGCCTAAATATGTCCTCCGGGGCGAAGCCCGGGTAACCCAGCTAGCATCTATATATTAAGGCCTCCGCACACACACACACACACACACACACACGAATGAAAAATATAAGGAACAAGAAACAGATAGGGCCGATATCACAGTCTCCGATTAACGTGATCCTCCGATTAAACTTACTCTGCATCTTTTTCTAACTGTCCCCCTAGAAAGAGACGAAGAGTGAGTTTAATCGGAGGATCACGTTAATCGGAGACTGTGATATCGGTCCATATTGGGTGTGCTTTCCATTTAGTGATACAAGTCGACACAGACGTTGTCGTTCTATCATTCTATTCAACGAGTAACAAAGACAGAACGAGACTTGTGTCGACTTGTGTCAGTAAATGGAAAACACTCATTGGCCTAGTTTACACCGGACCGTTTGATACGCGTACCAAGTACTATATCCGTATCAAATCCGTATCAAATCTCGGGTTATCCCGGTGTAAACTGAGATTTGATACGAATTTGATACGGATATGGTACTTGGTACGCGTATCAAACGGTCGGTGTAAACTAGGCCATTATAGCGATTAGGACTAAAGAATCAAGAATGAAGTTAGATGCACAATGAAAAAGACAGGCAATGGAAACAGGGAATAACACGTACAGACAATAGATTTTCAACTTCAACCTATCAAAAGCCGTGTATTAATGTTACACCAGCAGCTTTATTCCTGATTTCTTCTTTCTAATCGCTAATATCCTGTTCCTTGTTCCTTATATTTTTCGTTATGCGGAGGCCCTTACTTCCGGAAAAGCAAGACGGTGATTATAGTCACCGTTTTACCGCATTGCCGCGTTGCTGCGTTCTGTGTACAGGAGCCATTACTTTAATTATAGATTCTATTATGTTCCACATAATTATATATTTTAAAATTTTTTTGTTAAAACAGAGAATAGAGTATAATAGAAAGCATAAATACAAAGTATTTCAGAAGCGAAATATATATCGATATTTCGCTTCTGAAATACTTTGTATTAATTTATGCTTTCTACTATTCTCTGCTTTAACAAAGATTATAATTTTAAAATATTTATATAATTATGTAGAAATGAAAGTAAAAGAAACAAAATATTCGCAAATTATTAATTTCTTACTTACCGACATCGTGATATTTTAAGTATTAATTAAAAATAAATCATGGAGGACGATTTTCCTTCTCAGAATCTTTTTTACAATCCAAAATACACAAAATTTGAAAATTACAAAAAAATCGGAAAAGAGGGGGGGGGGGGGACTTATACTCAAAATATTTACATATATATATTAGGCGATTTTTGGCGATCGTTTGGTATGGTTTGGTACATACATATACCAAAGTTGCTATCGGTGGTTGCTATTGGTTCTGGTGCAGTTTGGTACCCTTTGGTTGCTTATACCAGAGTCACGCAAAAAATCGCCTATTCTTTATTATACTATTCTCCATTGTGTGATAATGATTGGAACACGAGAAATCTAACTTTCTAGCGGCTCAAAAAACATTGGTAAGCAGACCGAAAACTTTAATAGTCTTAAAGATGAAGTTGCCAAGTTGGAGGAGCAAGTGAGAATGCTGCAACTTGAAAATAATGATCTGAGAAAACACGTGAAAAGCTCTAAGGAACCTGACCATGTTGTATATGGTCAGAAGCTCCTTCCCCGCACTCCACAGGCAACAGCTATATTTAAAAGTCCAGTTGGAATTGTTGGAAAGTCTGGTTGTGGCTGTAAAGGGAATTGCTCCTCACGGATTTGTGGTTGCGTGAAGAACAGCAACAAATGTGGTCTGTCATGTAAATGTGACGATGAAATATGTCAAAATCAAGAATATTATCATTCGAATGTATGATGTTTTTATATATAGTAACCTGAAAAGAAATTTATTGATATTTTGCAGAAACCAGAATATGATCAACGGAAAAATAAATTGTGTTGCAATTAGGCTGGGTTCATCTTGACGCTTTCAGCACTGTAAGCATCATTCTATCTTCGTTGCACATCTAATATCAAACGAAGATAGAACGATGCTTTCAGCACTAAAAGCGCCAAAACAAACACAGTCTAGTCATATCTGTAAATAGTTTTTTTCTTTAAATTTTTAAAATATTTGCTTTTATAATTCTAAACATGAACAAATTTTATTATGGAATAACTATTATGGAATAATAAGAGTTTTTTTTATAATATTAATAACTGATTACTTCACAGGCAACAGCTATTAAAAGGCCAGTTGAAAAGTCTGGTTGTGGCTGTAAAGGGGATTGCTCCTCACGGATGTGTGGTTGCGTGAAAAAGAACAACAGATGTGGTCCATCATGTAAATGTGACGAAGAAATATGTGAAAATTAGGTAATATTATCATTTGATGTTTTTATGTATATAGTAACTTGAAAAGAAATTTATTAATATTATTGTAGATGTATGTCTGCATTTACACAGCGGCTTGTAATCCGGTTTAAGTAATTATAAACGTATACTATCCGACCTAAAATTTTTCTTTCTGTTTAGAAGTAATGATCATTTATAATAATATGAATTAACCTATTTTGTTGATACTCTAAACATTTGAAACAATCTTTGATATAGGTATGTATATTATTAGGAGCTTTCCACTATTTTGTGGTAATGTCAACGATTTTGGGGTTCTTTTTCGTGTTATGTTCACGATTTTTTGGTTTTATTTCCAAAGAAAATAAAAAAATCGTAGATATAGCACGGAAGAGAACCACAAAAACGTGCACATACCGACAGGATTCGGATACAGTCAAAACGGGCATGACCACTCTTAAGGCCATTGTACGTACAAAATACTACAAAAATTTTAGTAGTAATCGCAAGGCCGTAAGAAAATTGACCAATCACAATCAATTATTCTTTGACTGCAAGAAGAATTATTGATTATGATTGGTTAGTTTTCTTACGGCCTTGCGATTACTACTAAAATTTTTGTACATACGTGCAATGGCCTTTATCTTTCTCTCTGCCCGAACTCTAGTTATTATTTTTATCTAGTTTACCTTTACCTATAATGGAGCTTTCCAGCAAGCGACACAAGTCGACACAAACGTCGTTCTATTCTTTTTTGGAAATGAGTAACAAAGAGTTAAGGCCCGGTCTACAATGGATGTCGTAAGTCGGAGTCGTAAGAAATTGACCAATCACAACCTATTATTCTCCTTGCGGTCGAAGAATAATGAACTGTGATTGGTCAATTTCTTACGACTCCAATTTCCGACATCCATTGTAGACCGGGCCTAAAGGTCATTGCACGTAACAAAGTTTTAGTCATAAATCGTAAGGCCGTAAGAAAATAGACCTGCAATCACAGTCGATTATTCTCCGCTTGCTGGAAAAAGCTCCCCCTAGTATATAGGGGTAACTCTGGGTCTACAATAAGTTTTTTAAGGTGATCCTAAAGCCGTAATCCTAACCGGTTTTTTTCAGTTTTTTTCTTAGCACTAATCTTTTAATTAGCTTTATAGAAATACAAAATTCTTGTCTAGAATTAAAGTACACATCAAAATCTAGGTCATGGTGGTCGAATTTATATCAAAAACGAAAAAAAAATAATATTTTTTGTTATACGTGACGACCACCACATATAAATTCGACCACCATGACCTAGATTTTGATGCGTACTTTAATTCTAGACAAGAATTTTGCATTTCTATAAAGCCAATTAAAAGATTAGTGCTAAGAAAAAAACCGGCATTACAGACGGCTTTAGAGGATCACCTTAAGGTTTAAGGCTTAAAGCACCTATTGTAGACCGGGACTTAGGCCGGTTGAGCCAACAGTGGAATGTGTAAATAGTTAATAGTTCCTTTCTTTAAATATATAAAATATTTGCTTATAATTCAAAACCTATCAACAAATTTTTTATTATGGAATAATAAGAATTTTTTAATATTAAGAACTGATTAGGAGATGTTGAGATACAGGGATGAAATGTATAAATAGTATACTTTTAAAAATAATTCAAAAAAATTATTTTACATATATACTGCAATGCATTTCAGATACTAAAGAAGAAAAAGTCGATTGGGAAAAGTACTCTAGGGAAGAGCACACTGCGCAATTAATTCCTTGCAAAAAATGCAAAAGAACATTTTTACCCAATCAGATTCAATGTACAACGAAGCTTGCTGTAAAGAGATTTAAATATTGACGAAACAAAAATTGTTTAGACTTTTTTAAACTTTTAACATGTTACTTTATGATTTTGCGTTTATCTTTTATCATCGACATATAGCACTTAAGAAAGCAACTATGATTGGTCCGCCGTTTTTATTTAATTCGCGCCAGTTTTTGGAAATTTTTATTTTTGTCAAACATAGTAAACTAGCATTTCAAAAATTTTTTTATCAAAATAATTTACATATGCATGTAAAAAAGAATCCACAGAAAAGAGAACAAATTATTTTCATATAAATATGGTCAATTCCATATGAATAATAAATAATTTCCATATATATCATAATTTTATTACAATAAAGTACATTATCATTTCCTACCCATTGGGCTCAACGTTACAAATTTGTCGTTTTGTTGATGAATTATTGCAGTAAACTGTCGTACATCCAACCATTGTTATTTGTTCGTCCAGAAACAAATTTTATAAAACTGGATAATTTTCGACACGTTATAAGTTACAGCGTCACTGTAGAATGAGATAGAATATATTTCTCTCTCATAGGATTTTGAAGAAAAATAGGCGCTTGTTATGGCTAGACTTAACTTACGGTTTAACTTACAAGTATCTTTTTCTAATTCTTAAAACTAGAAAAAATCCACATTAGTAGAAATGGATATAAAAGTATAAAATTTATGCAGAAGGTGTAAAAATATATAATTTATATTATATTTCATTATGTTTTTACTATGTTCGATGAAAAATAATTCTTAATCCATATTGAATATTTATATCTTCGTTCGTGATTCACAAATCTTTACAAATTAAATTGCATTGAGCTCTTTTTATTTTAGACGGCCTTCTGCATAAGTACCTAATAAAATTTTTTAAATATAAAAATACTAATTAATATTTACGTGATAAAATTATTTTATATAAATATCAAATCTAAGAAATTAAATATGTTTATTAAATTATGACATCTTAAAAAAGTGGTTTTTGTAATATCTCAGTTCATTAATGCTCTCTTTTATATCATCCAGAGCCCTATGGTTTAGTTTCTTTTTCGGCGCTGAATTATATACATTTGGATTCCACCTTCTAAAAATTATGAAGATTTACTCACACATTATCATATTGTTTTATCAAAATTACCTTAAATATTAATTGCAGAATAGTCTTATTATTATTAATTGTTTACATTGCGTCAGCATCTCTATTTTTTCATATAAAAATATAAGAAATCGGTCCTTACCTAGCAATTTCCTTGATTGTACTAACATCAATAATCCTGTAGTGCAAGTAATTGTTAACTAATGGCATATATTTGTGCAGAAATAAACGATCTATATACACTGAATTTCCAGCTAATGGACATGAATCTTGGGGAATGTGTTTTTTTAAAAGGTCGAGTACTGTCTTCTCAGCTTCTTCCAATGATACTGTACTTGAGCGAGAGTTCTCAATTAATCCTGTCTGAAATATATATTAGTAATTAAGTTACAAAACTCAAAATATACCAATTTTCAAAAGGCTAAAAAGTTCAAGAATATCTGTATCATCCATGTAAGTTAAAAGCTTTACCTTTGTGTGATTTTCCTTACACCATTCATTCATATTTTCTAATATTGTGTCTGGTTGATGTATCACAATATTCAATTCCTCACTAACAATTTTTAGTTTTTTATCTGTTACAATGCAGGCAATTTCTAGTATATGGTGTTTATCTACCTCAAGTCCAGTCATCTATAAAAATATAATATGCAATTAATTTATGTTTCTAAATTAATTTTTGATTACTCCTCATTATAATCATTAGGTATAGGTATCATTTGTAAGATTTCAATACCTCTAAGTCCATCCAAACAATATAATTAGTATTTTTGGATGTCATCTTGTCTGTTAATAATATATTATCTAACAATCTGCAAATATAATTTAAACATAAATAAAAGTAAAATAAAAAACAAAAATGTTAGTTATTATAAGAAATATTTAAAAAGATTAATAATCGTCATTGCGTTCAATTTCGTGCGACGATAAAATTGAACACCAACTTATTTTTATATCACGCATGTCAAAGTAAGATTTTACACGCTTCTCGGACATGTGTATCATGTTGATTTATATAGTAAATTACAACAATGCAAATAGTTGATAAAATGAGAAATTAATAAAGCAACAAAAATAGGAATTTTCTGACGATTTAACTTTCGAGATAACCTCCAATTATACGTGATAAACTTTAAACACATGTTCCTCTGGAAACATTTATAAAATATTATGGTAACTAAAATATAAATCTTATGAAATATGATAGTACAAAATAGACGTTAATGACGATTCTTTGTTCTTGGTGAAAATAATTATACCTTCAATGACAATAAAACATTGAAATTGACCCTACGAGATTGCTACCTGTGTAGAGTGTAAACGCCACATGACATGCGCCCTTCACAAGGGTATTTAAGCTCTAAGCCGTAAGAAATTGACCAATCACATACTTAATGTTTACGCGAGCGTTAAAGGTGGAAGCACATAAAATTGCAGGAGCCATAAGCAGAAGGCAGAAGCCATATGCGCATGCGTTAAAAGGTTTGAGTGGCGAAGACTGTGACGTGCACATCGTGCAACGTCACAGCTTATTTCGGTTAGTTTTCTCG